CGGCCAATCAGGCCAATCACAACGCATTGGATAGCTGGCCAATCACAGCACACCTCGCTTTTTCAGACCGGTAAAAATCGGCATTTCATTACACCAAATACACAAAATAATGTTCTTTTTAGCAGCATCATATGACCCCTTTAATGAATGTTTAGAAGAATTTTTCATTGGCAGTTTGTTTTACTAATAAATTAACTAATGTTACCTAATGGGGCCTTAATGTAAAGTGTAACTGAACAATAAAGAATAAAAACATTTTCAAACAATATCTAGGGCATGTTGTAGTCCAGATTAAAATGTAAAAAAAAAAGTTTGGACAAAAATAGCGTGTCAAGTCTAAATATTTAAGTATTTGGCGCTGTGATGAGCACCATAGTGAATACACAAACCGGAATGGCTGTTTAAATAATTTAAATACGGTTCAGAAAGTAGGGCTGCACAGCTGCTTTGTTTACGGGGTAACGGCTGCATTTCTGCTGTTCAGCGCCACCTGCTGTCAGAGAGTGAATGTGCGCTTTTATTCAGCGCGTCACGCACTTCTCATCTGTGCTTGTTTACATGGGAGTGTGCAGCGGTGTTGTGCATTGTGACCAGTGTTGGGCAGTAACTAGTTACTAGTAACTACTGTAATAATATTACTTTTTGCAGTAACTAGTAGTGTAACTAATTACTAACAAGATTTCAGTAATAATATTAGTTACCATCCATAAAACAGCTAGTTACTTAGTAACTTTTGATGCCTCAACCCCTACTGATTTGAAATCCAACAATCCAATAATTTCTAGATTTATTTTCATAATTTACACAACTCGCACAGGCACATGAAGTCACCAGGGCATCAGGAAAGCTTGGAATATGGAAAAGCTTACATTCAGGGGATGGAAATATTGCCATTACACTGATTTTGTCAGGAGAAAAGCTGATTATTTTAAGTTGAAATAATATTTAACAGTATTAAGGTTTTTACTGTGTTTTGATCATGCAAATGCAGCCTTGGTTAGTACTAGTGGTTTCTTTCAAAAACATTAATAAATCTTACCGACACCCCCCCCATATGATAGATAGATGGATGGATGGTTGGGTAGAATATTGTTTTAATTTTTTATTTCTTTTCTTATTTTAATTTATTTACATTTTATAAAATTTTTACTGTTGTGTATTATCACTATTATGTGTTACACCATGTTTTAACATTTCCGTTCATAATTGGATCATCTAATTCTCTCTCCACATCTCAAAGTGTTATGAGAACTAAATTCTAATGAATATTCAGGAGTTGTCTGTGCTCTATGGCACTCATAGCTGTTGCTAATGGAAACAGCTTGTGTTTATGTATTAGTTTTGCACAGTAAAATAGTCCTCATCCATTTGGAGAGGTGTGGGAGGTTGTGTGTGAAAGTGTGTTTAGATCTGTATGTTTACATGCATTGAGTATGTTTGTGTTTACATAAGCAAATGAGGTTTTTCTTTCTCTAACAGCATGAACAATCTCCATCCCACCCTCTGAGCACTTCCCCTCGTGGGCATATCTCAAAATGTGGTGATCTCATAATTGCCCTCGACTACCGGGCTGAAACCCACAGGCTCCTGGTCACGGTGATAATGGCCCAAGGCATTCCAGACAAGGCACGGAGTGGCATGGATTCCTGGCAGGTGCACGTGGTGTTGTTACCTGGGAAACGACAGCGGCACAAGACGGCCGTACAGAAAGGCTCCATGCCCAGGTTTGAAGAGACATTCCGGTTCTCACATCTAGAGCTAGGGGATCTGGGTTCCTCTGCGCTGCGGTTCCGCCTGTATGCACTGGGGAAGATGAACAAGGAGAGGATGATGGGAGAGGCCATGTACAGGCTGAACAGGCTGAATCACACGGGGCGCTTCGAGATCACTCTGGTGCTGGAGCCACGTAGTAATCTCAAGGTGTGTGTACTTGCTTTGATAGTATTCATAGTTTGTTTATTTTTTTGTAAAGTGTCATGGCTCAGCAGTAAGGATTTTTCAAATGGCATGGTTGGGCCAGTAGTTCAATTAAGATTTTTTTTTTTACCAGCACACTATGTGCAAGAAATAATATTTTTATTTTTATTGAATTATAATCTATACATATATACATTCTAGATTATAGTCTACACATTTATACATATTGTTACAATGTTTGATTCATAATTAGATCCTCTAAATCTCTTATTTCAAAGTTTGTCTATCAATCTATCTATCTACATATATACAATGCATAGTCATATCCTAGATTACATTATCTTTATAATAAATTAATAATAAAATGAAATATAGCACAGAAAGCAAAATATTTAGATTTGCAAAGCAGAAGAACACATTTTTCAATTAGAGATAATGAAAAACTGGCTCAAAATTCTCATATGCAGAAAAGTTGTAAATGAAAATTATTGGAGTATGTTTATAAAAAAAAAAAAAGGCTATTTCAGTCTTTCTACATAAAAATGTAGCATTTATTTCAGTGTGTTACTTGCCATTTCTTTCTAATTATTATTTTATTATTTCTAATTATTAAATATTTGTGAAATTTACTAGCAATTTTGCCGTGAAATTTGTTTCACAGTAAATCCTACACAAACTTTTTTTTTTTTAGTTTACACTGTCCTTATGATTAAAGGCTCAAGTGGACAGGTAAATTTTGATACTTTTGGATAGACACTTTTATGTGCAAACAACTTCTGAAATGCTTTTTATGAATGTTTAACTTTACAAACTCAACAAAGCTTTAGAAATTATCTTTTCTCTTTCTAATGACACATCAGAATATAAAATGCTGGAACTTTTCTGAGGGTACCACCATATTTGTTCACAAAGATTATTTTGTACATCTGTAAAGTTGTACATATGTACAAGGGAATACATTTTTAAAAGGTACACTGAAAATAAATTGATGTAGGATTTACTCAGAAACAATTTTCAAAATAGCTAGTAAATTTCACAAATAATTACAAAGAAATGGCAAGTAGCATATTGAGTTTTGAAGTAGAAAGACTGAAATAGTACAGTGTCCATATATTGAAAAATGATGTAAAACTATACTTTATGTACAAATACCAACTAGGCTGTCATCTCCCTCCCTGCAGACAGTAGACTCCCAGGTGTCTTTCAGCGCTCAGAGTGACAGTGCTTCCTCCAGTCATTCTGTGTCTCACGGTGGAAACCCAGAACTACTGCTGGGTTTATCATATAACGCCACCACAGGACGACTGTCTGTGGAGATCATTAAAGGCAGCCACTTCCGTAACTTCGCACTCAACAGACCTCCAGGTAAACACACCATCCCACTCACACTAACAGAGGCTCAGAAACACATAGGCATCATTAGAACATCAGGAGTGACTCTTGAGCAAATAACCTTTTGTAAAGCCGTCTAATATTGATTTTGAGTAGATGTACTGCAATAAATCCTTACTACACGAACAAGCTGCTAGAACACACATTTGTACTAGCAAATTTTGTATGTGTCATCCTCACACGTTGTGTTGTGGGTCAAGCATCAGGCTTTTAGAGTTCATGCTGTTCATATGACTCTTAATCTGTTATGGTCACATCTCACAATGATGCTTCTCGGTGAATGTAGTTACAGGGCATTTAATCGATCGGAGAGCCCTAGATCTTTTTCTCACACCTCTTGCATCAAGTCGATGAGTCACTGCTGAAGAAAACCATGCACACACACACACAAACTGTGATATAATGCTGTCACATTTTGTGCTTACTTCAAAAATAAAAACATTATTTGTTACTGTACTAATCTACTCTACCATTAGCATCAATAAGATTTTTCGAATGTCTCTTAAAGGAATAGTTCACCCAAACATGTAATTTTGCTTAAAATTTAGTCACTCTTGGGCCATCCAAAATGTAGATGAATTTGTTTCGTCATCAGAACAAATTTGGAGAAATTTAGCATAACACCACTTGCTCACCATTGGATCATATGCAGTGAATGGGTGCCGTCAGAATGAGTGTCCAAACAGCTGTTAAAAACATCACAATCATCCACAAGTAATCCACACGATTCCACTTCAAGCCATTGCTTCTGTTTAAAATATGAGTGCTCTATCAGATTAAGGTGTCTTGTCAAAATCAGGAGAGAAATATGCGCAGATCAAGTCCAAAGAGTCCGAAACAATTCTAAAAAAATATCTTGGTGGATTTTGATGTGAGAGGACAACAGGGCATGAACTTTTTCACTGTAGTAAGCGTTATTATGGACTCTATTTTAGCCAGAAACGATGGTTTAAAGTTGAAAAAACACAGTGATTGATTTGTTTCTTACAAAAGCACAGTTTTTCAAGATTTTAATTGATTGACTGGAGTCGTGTGGATTACTTGTGGATTATTGTGATGTTTTAATCAGCTGTTTGGACTCTCATTCTGACGGCACCCATTTGTGAGCAAGTGCTGTAATGCTAAATTTCTCCAAATCTATTCCTGTGAAGAAACAAACTCATCTACATCTGATCCTTCATAAACCATTTCAATATGCTGATTTGGTGCTCAAGAAACATTTCTTATTATTATCAATGTTGAAAATAGTTGTGCTGCTTAATATAAAACAAATTCACAGATTAGTATTATCCAATAACAAAAAGATTTGATCACTGGGCTAAGATGGAATAAAAAAGGTTTATGTTCAAGATTATTAAGTAAATATATTGAGGTGAGATTTAGTGACCTGTGTTTCTCTTTCAGATACATTTGGTAAGCTCACTCTGTTAAACTCCATGGGACAGGAGATTTCCCGCTGTAAGACGTCCATCCGTCGCACTCAGCCGAATCCTGTCTTCAAGGAGACGTTTGTCTTCCAGGTCGCACTGTTCCAACTGTCAGATGTCACATTAATGGTCTCCATTTACAATCGGCGGAACATGAAGCGCAAGGAGATGATTGGCTGGGTGGCTCTGGGCCAGAACAGCAGTGGTGAGGAAGAACTTCTTCACTGGCAGGACATGAAGGAGAGTGGAAACCAACAAGTCTGCCGCTGGCACACACTACTGGAAGCTTAGAGGTGAGAGATAGAAGTCTAATCATTCATACCTACTGCGTTCAGCTGGATTTTCCTTTGGGAAGGAGGTGAAAGCCAAGACCAAAAATACCCATAAGAACAGGAATGAACAAGCACTTTTAACAGTTTCAAAGAAAGATAATAATGCAATTGTGAAAATCTTGGAAGCACATACAACACAAAGAAACACCCACACACCACTTTTCTTTCTCCCTGGGAGTACTTGATACAGCCTCTTATCTGGTAACCAGGAAATGACTTCATGGCGTAATATACTGACTACTCTCTTCAACTCCAGCAGCAACCAATCAAAACGCGTTATTGCCAGAGCCACGGTGATTGTCGCCTAGCGATTTCATGAATGGAGGATTGATTTGAAATGATTAAATGTCTTCTTCAGATCATTTTAAGCCTCAAGTTCAGACTGACACCAGAAGCAGTTTTGGTGAGACCAAATGTTTAATGAGCAGAAAACTGTTGAACACGTGCACTTTCAATCATGCTCTCCTACTGATGACAGTAAAGCTGTTTCTTTTTGTTACATTTGACATTTTTTATTACATTTTACGTCAAAATATGCTGTAATTTAAAGTCATGGACAGTGTTATGATAAAAGTTGCTGTTAAAAGGAGAACACAAGTTATCACTATTCATATCAGAATAAGAGATATCAGCAAATGACTTAAAATCTGTCATTATTTACCCACCCTCATAATGTTCCATTATGAATTGTTTTCATTCTACTATGGAACACAAAAGTTTTTGAACTGTTCAGTAATTTCATTGAATGAGGATTGGTGCTGTTCAGGCTTCAAAAAGACACATATTATTCATTGAAATTTAGACATCCAACTTTGATCTACTGTGCATGTTTATGAGCGAATCTGATTAGTGAATGAATCCTTTTACTCAATTTAGTTTAGTGATACAGTTCACAAAAATTGTGTGAATGATTCATTTGAAGAGACTGATCTGGTTCTTAAATTCATTTGAATCAATTACTCAAAGATCTGATCACAAATGCTTAACAGACCACTGGAGATTATCGTTGCATACATTTCAGCCTGTTCCTCTCACAGAGCTATTCTATGGCTTGAGAAGACTTGGAGTATAGTGCCCAAGTCATATGTACTATTTTTATAATGCTTGTGAATCCATTTTGAAGCTTGAAAGCTCCAGTCCCCATTCATTGTAATTTCTTGGAAAGAGACCAATCCTTCTTACCAAAACTCAGAGCACAGACACTTGCATGTTCAAGAAAATCTTCAGACAAACTTAACACTGTCCTTGTGACATTAAAATCCAAACTCTTTTCTAATGCATGCATGTAATGCTTTATGCATATATAAAGTGCCTGATCTGATTAAACCTTTATGGAGTTTTTATTTATAGCCAGTGATATTGGAGATAAACATGGAAAAACTCTGGAACATTACAAATGCATGGACCACAGTGTTTTAAAAATCAGTAGTGCCTGTTTTGCATGCATTCAAATTCAAAGTGGTTTTTGGAAATAAATGCACATATTTTGTCCATCATTAAAGACATCCCTAATACACTACTTTTAATGGCAATGTGTTTTGTTATGATTCAGAACAGCAATAAATCTTTATTTTGTAACAATGGTTATGCATTGATCTTAGTGTATCACAACTGTGAAAATAGGTGATACTGGCAGAGGAAACTGTAGCTTCAATTGACAGTAACCAATCATATGATCATCAGACTGACATAATATCTGAAACTGTTTGCCAGAAGAGTGTGCGTTTTAGTTTTCCCATCATGTAATGTTTCCGTATAGGAGTGGAAGAATCGTTTATGGTCGAAGGAGATGATTAAGCATGGAGACATGAGGTTAAAAAATCATTTAAGAGTTTAAAAGGTTTAAAAATTTTATGACATACCATATACTAATGTATGCCAGATAGATATGCTTTAGGAGTATATGAGCAATAAAACATTTCAAAAGTACAAAAAAATGATTCGAAGGAGATAAGCCCTATGCCGTTTTAGGGGGGGCGTGGCAGAGTGTTAACTTTGATAAAGAATATCTCTTTGGTTTTGAGACTTTAGTCTTTGCAACTTCAGGGATCTTATCTATGCACAATCAGCTTGTAACACTCCAAAGAGAAAGGAAAACTTGAAATCGCATCATATGACCCCTTTAAGAAATACGCAAGAAGAGAGCGGAAGAAACGCAGCAGCAGAGGATGCGAGAAGAATGGAGTTTGATGCTGGAGCGTCATCATTGCCTAGTGACTCTCCTAGCAACAGGAAACATCTGTTTCAGCGTCGACCAATCAGGAGCCGGTGCAGTCTGTTATTGCTCGCAGCACAGAAAGGGATATTTTAAGAGCCGAGAGTGAGCCGAATACTACAGGGATTATATCAAAAGCAAGACTTCGACATCTGGGGGCGAAGCTCAAGCTCACGCGGAGCTGAAAACGGCTACATTCGGCACAGTATGAGCTGTTTTGAGCCTCTGGTTTGATGAATAACGCGAGTGCGGGGACCGCTAATGTGGCTTTATAAATAAGGTAGGATCATTTAGCTCTGTTAATCGCATTGATTTTTTTTTTTAAATCTCTGTGAGCGCACTTAAAACATAATATGCTATTTTTACTGCATGCTTTTGTTTATTTTGCAATTGTATAATCATAACAGACCCATTCTCTAGTTTGACATTTTTAGGATTTTTGGAAAATGCGCGTTCTGTGATTCATTCATTAGCGTGGCAGTTGAGTGGCTGCTTATACTGCATTATGCAACATAACACACGCATGCATATTCTGTGCTATTTTCAGTTATTGAAGGTAGGCTACTTATTTGGTACACTGTAAAAAAAAAAAAAAAAAAGTAAAATAATATTCTTCAAAAAATCAAATGCTATAGTAAAGAACTGTAAGTTACATTACCATCAGGCTATATGTTCCATTTAAATTTTTAGTTTAGAATATTCTAAAATGTTTTGCAAAATTATCAAGAATTTTTACTGAGAAATTTAAAGATACACTTATTAAAAGGTTTGCCCTGAAACTGATTAGTACATTTTAGATTAAGATGAAATTAAGTTTACAGTCAAATTACTAGCTTAAAAAGATTTTTATTTGCATGGAATGGGTCACTTCATATGGGCCACTGATATCATTGACATGACCAGCTGAATACTTAATCTTGTTTTGTTAACCGTAAGTATTAGACAATGTTGCTAAAAAAAAAATAATCATGGCTGAATGCAAAAATAATATTCTTCAAAAAATCAAATGCTATAGTAAAGAACTGTAAGTTACATTACCATCAGGCTATATGTTCCATTTAAATTTTTAGTTTAGAATATTCTAAAATGTTTTGCAAAATTATCAAGAATTTTTACTGAGAAATTTAAAGATACACTTATTAAAAGGTTTGCCCTGAAACTGATTAGTACATTTTAGATTAAGATGAAATTAAGTTTACAGTCAAATTACTAGCTTAAAAAGATTTTTATTTGCATGGAATGGGTCACTTCATATGGGCCACTGATATCATTGACATGACCAGCTGAATACTTAATCTTGTTTTGTTAACCGTAAGTATTAGACAATGTTGCTAAAAAAATAATAATCATGGCTGAATGCAAAATAGCATTTCTAAAATTACATTAGAAAGCGAAAACTATTGCTTTTGCTTAGTGTTGCATCCAGTGTCAAAGACAATTGCTATTTTGTCCCGAGCGCACCTTTAGCAACGCAAAACATATACTTTTATGTTAAAATATTGCTGAAATAAAAAATTATGATAAAGTAATTTAACATTAAATATAAAATATATAGCCTAAGTAAATAAATAAAAGTAATATAAAATTAAATATAATAATAATTAAGAATAGTTCATGATAATTATGAGTAATATAAAAATTACAAATAATTAATGCACTATTGGACATTGCCAGAATTCTCTTCATATGAACTTCATGGCATCATGTGGCATATACCATCTATGTTATCAGTACAATTAAAATAACAAACTTTAAAAAAAAAATTTTTTCAAAAGGTTGATAGGACCTGTGTTAAAATTGTTTCAAAATGATTAAATGTAATGACGTTTACATTTAGAACTGTACAATATACAGTCACCAAAACGTATTGTATTTTTACAGTTTAACCAAATTTACCAACGAAAAGTACAGTGAAGATAAATACCATTTTTGGCTTACTTATTATCTCGAGAGAGCGCGCTAACTTACACGCAGCCCACACTAATCTATCCACCCACGGGTACTGCGCGCGCCGCGCCGCTGTGTTGACAGAGCGCGCGGCACGTTTCTTTAAACCTGATAAATCAAATTGCAGCTCAGTCGCGCGCAGAATTACACAGCGGCAAGACATCGTACAACTACAGCACAGCTGCCTGCAGGTGTCGTACAATAAGATTTAGTAAACAATACTCTCTTTTTCTTTCTCTGACTAAGAACCATTAGGCAATGTGTGTGAGCCAGAGGAAAGAGTCTCAGGTGAATAGAGGATTTGTCAGAGAGGTGTGTGATTGTGTCTGCGTGAAGCAGTTCTCAGGTAATTAATACACACAACACACACAGGCCTTGTTACATAACACACTGCCTGTGGTCTACCCTAATCCACTTTACCCATGGCATAGTGTTAGGGACACATTTACACTGATGGAATTGTTTTATGTTGAATCATCTTTCACAGTAAGAGACTGAAAAAAGAGATGTTACATTTGTAAAAATCCCATTTCCAAAGTTGCAAAGCCACGGTTTTCACAAAATCCCTGTGTGCTTGTCTGCAGGGTCTTTCCTCTAAGAGTGCCCTCAACGGTCAACAACGTCGAAAGTCGCCTACTTTAAGCGAAAATATGCGGAAGAGGAGGATGTTCAGGGAAGCCTACATGGATATTTACAAAAAGTGAGTGTCATTTAAAATGTGCTTAAATGCAACAAAGTATAATTAAAGTGAAATTCTCAGAAATGTAATTTTTAAAGCAAACTTTATTAAGGAAAACTTCAAATCTTGGCTTTACAGAGCCATGTTTGAAAGTTTTGAAAAAAGTTTGGAAGTTTCTAGACAGATAGATAGATAGATGTCTTTCTGATCTTACTGTATGTGTCACCCTCTTTGATTCAGGCAGTTGTCCATTTCATGTAAATATCCTGTTCACGTCTGCTCCTGTCTGTCTCGTGTCTTCACACCTGACATCTTCCAACTGTCTCTCCTCACCTGTCTGTCTCTCCTCAGCACCTGATCCTGCGTGAGGAGCGCAGCTGCATCCTGCGCCTGTCTCTGCAGAAGCTGCGTTTCCTAGACGACCCTGAGGCTTACCTCCGCCGCTCCGTGCTCATCAACAACCTGCTATGCAAGATCCACCTGGACGAAGCCCAGAGGGAGAAAGAGAAACAGAGAGATGACAAGGAAGAGGAGATGGAGTGGAGGCGGAAGAGACTGAAGGTGGTGCTCAAGGAGTTCCAGCAGTACAAGCTGCTGCCGTATTCATCCTCCCCAGCCTCATGCATCTGTGGCCTGGGCAGCTGCCACATCCTGCCTCCTGATCATGGAGCTTCAGTGTTATTCTACCATTTGGATGATAAAGGATAAGATGTCATCGCGCACATGCAGGGATT